AGGCATCGTGGTGCATGCCTGTAATCCCAGCTACTCAGGAGTCTAAGGCAGGAGAATCACTTCAGCCTGGGAGACGGAGGTTAAAGTGAGCTGAGATCACGCCACTGCACTCTGGGCGACAGAGTGAGACTCTGTCTCAAAATAAATAAATAAATAAATAAAAATAACACACTCCTAAAATACGATCACGCTAAAATAATTTAGCATTGACACAATAACATTCTTTGATATATAGTCCAGCTATCTAAAAATATCTATTTTATAGTATTTTAATAATCCAGGATCCATTCAACTTTACTCATTGAAAACTGATTTTTATATCTTCTTAGTTTCCCTTAATCTAAAAGAAGCTTCCTGCCTCTATTTACTACTTATTTTGTGTTAAGGATACTGGCATGTATTTTACTTTAATTTAATTTAATTTAATTTTGAGACAGGGTATCACCCTGTTGTTCAGGCTGGAGTGCGCTGCTGCCTTGACCTCCTAGACTCAAGCCGTTCTCCCACCTTAGCCTCCCGAATAGCTGGGACCGCAGGCCCACACCACCATGCCCAGCTGATTTCTTTGTTTTCTCTAGAGACAGGGTCTCATTATGTTGCCCAGGCTGGTCTTGAACTCCTGAGCTCAAGCCATACTCCTGCCTCAGCCTCCCAAAGTGCTAGGATTATAGGCATGAGCCACCATGCCCGACCAACATTGGCATTATTAGAGTTCACTTGTCTTGTTGAACATCGCACAATCTAGATTTTGCTGATGGTTTCCTCATGATGATATTTAGGCTAAATGTTTGAGGCAAGAACACTCTGCAGGTGACACTGTGTGCTTCCTGCTGCATATGTCAGGAGGACCTTGATGTTTATGATGCTCAGTTATTTGGTTAAGGAGATATCCATCACATCTCTCCATTGTAAAGATACCTTTTGACCTTTTTCATTAATAGTCACACTGTGGATGTTAAAACTTTTTAGGGGGCAAAAGTCATCTACTTTTCCTGGAAAAACCATCTTTCTTCCATTGTCTCATCAAAAACCCCACTATGGTGTGGTTATGGCTGACACCAGCCTCCAGGAGGCTGCTCTTATAGCATGAAGATTCATGATTGTAATCGTTAATAACCGTACCATTTCCTAATGTCTTGTAGCATTTTACAGTTTATAGAGCATTTTTGCACATGTTGCAGCTTTTGATTTGCCCCAAATTCGCTTTTCATTGTCTAAGAAGTAAGGCTGCTTAGAATCATTCACTCGCTCATTCACCCATCCATTCATCCAGACCACATGCCAGCCACTGGTCCAGAAGCCAGGGCTTTCATAAATGAATGAAGGGATCAGATCTAGGTGGGGAGACCAACAGGCAATCTTTTCCCAAACAGTGTCACTGCAGCGGTAAGACAAGCTCTGGGGTAGAGAACATGGGGTTGAAAGGAACCAGCTGAAAAGAGAAGCATAGAGAAGTAGAAACTGAGGCTTCACGCTGCCCTATCCACTGTCACATGAGAAACTCTATTTCTCTCCCTTTTAAAGCACTGTGAGTTGGGTTTTCTGTTTCCTGCAGCCAAATGCGTCCTGATACTCTCAATGTTCTCGCATTGCAGGTGAGGAAATGAAGGCCCCAGAAGTAAAATGATTTTGCCAAATGACACTCAGCTAGCAAATGCCCGAAATGGTTCTTGATCATGGGTGATTGATTCTAAGTCCCTCACTTGTGTCCTAGGGAAAGAGACAGGAAGAGCCCCTGTTGTCTGAGTCTTGATGAACTCCCTGGCTCTCCTCTTCTGTACACAGTTCAGAGATGGCTAGACAGAAGGAAGATGCCCAGTAACACTTACTCAGGTGCTCTGAGTGCTGGTCACTTCCCCCTTGGTGGCTAAGTGGCGGGCATTTCAGGATACAGAGCACTTTCATTAAGTTTAGCACTATTCACATGGACAGACAGTGGGTGTGCACTTTCAGTCAACCCAAATAGACGAACATACTGTCTGAAGGCCACAAAGTGCCCCATGAATAATTCCCTGTAAATACACATCCAATGCCCACACTTCACAGAGACTGATTGAATGTGTAAAAGACTGAAGGGCTCAGGGAACAGGAATTAATGGATGGAAGGAATCTATCGTGGTTGAGGTCAAAGAGTAGGCTCAGTGTAGCAGAGAGCCAGGCTCACCAGCCTGCTGTGAATTTGAAGTATGGGGGCAATTAGGCATGAGCTATTTGTAGACAGAAGGAAAAACGGTGAACTAAATGGCTTAGGCTTAGTTCCACGTGCAGGTTGGATGCAGAGGACTGTCATCCTCAATACAGGCTGCAAAATGATGCCAAGGGTCACCCTCATAGAGGGCAGGGCCCAGTGTTGGAAACATTTAAAGTACGACTTCTGAGCTTTAAAAGAGACATTGTATATATAGATCTACAGGAAGGTCAAGAATTCTAAAATCCTGGCAGCTAATTGTCCCGCTTCACCTTAAGTAATTTTGCTAGAGAATGCTGATGCAGCCTGTATTTGTGCTGTGTGTGTGTGTGTGCGCGCGCATGTGTTTATGTATGTGTGTGTGTAGAGGACGTAGTAAGAGGGAAAAAATGTGGCATTTTTGCCAGCATTTGCCTTTTTTTTTTGTCTTTTTTTCTTGCTGTTCTCCACCCCTACAATAAGCTGAGCCAGTGTAAGTTACAATTTATTAGCTGGTTGCTATGGGTTACACCAGTGCTCCGCAGATATTCCCTTCAGAAATAGTAACATTTAATGTAATGTAAAACAGAACTACTGTATCACCACTTGCTTGGCTTCTGCTGGCTTGCAATATTATATCCTTCCCTGCTGAGCTTGAAGCCTCAGGAAATTAGCTGGTGCCATTATTTTATGATGATGATGGGTGTCTGCCATACCCCCCTTGTTTCATGAAAAAGACAGCCTGCAAACCGAGGGTGTCTGCAGGACCTGGGGTGCCAACTTGCAGTGCCATGCAGTGCCCAGAGACTGGCTGTTTGTTTCATCTGCCTGTTCATTATTTAAGGCAGTCTTCTCAAAGCTGAGTCCCTGTGGGCCCGGGGCCAGTTACCATTTCAGGGAGGCTAGCTGTAACTACCAATGAATTTTATTTATTCTGCCATCTGTGTAATATTTGTGGCAGGCTGGTTAACAAAAATTTGTGGGCTGGTAAATTTTCAGGATAATTTAACTGTAAGAGTGATTTGAAGGGGAAAGGTTAGAAGATGGTGACCCTGAGTAAAGCCATTCAAGTTAAAATAAACAGAATAGAAGAGAAACGGGTGTTTTCAGGCCACCCACATTCTCTCTTTTCTGCCTGCTCTCTCCATTGCCCACCCACCTAACCACTACCCCTCTCAGAGTACACCTTTTCCTGCCCGTGTGCTCAGTCTCTTCTCTCGCCTGCCCACGGAGGTGTACTCTCTTTTACAGGCAGGACACTAGGTTGCCCTACAGATGATGCTTCCTTAACAGGGTCCACTAGTGTAGGAGGAGTGCTGGAGTGGTAAACAGAATGTGGGCTCTGGAAGATCTAGGTTCAAAGCCTGGCTCTGCCACTTCCTGGTTGTATGACCTTGGACAAGTTCCTTGACCCTTTGAAGCCTCGGTTTCCATATTATAACACGGGATAACTGTATTTACCTTGAGTGCATATTGTTAAGGATCTGAGGGTGCAATGTCTACGTAATCTCTTAGCACCGTGCCTGGCCCATCGTGAAAAGTGGTCTTGCCTACTCTCCAATGTGGGACATTTTTGTTCCCTCTTCCTGAGAGACTCAGCCAGCTGGTCCTCCTGGGCATCTCCTGCTTTTCATTCAAGACTAGATCAGACACAACCTCTTGTGAAAGCAACTTAGCTACCCCCCTGCCTGTCCTCTTTCACGCCATGTGCCTGCTGCTCTCCGCCGCTGCTGTGGCACCTCCGCATGCCTCTGCTGTAGTGTGTCCATGCTAGATTGTCATTCTCTGTTGAAAAGTCTTCTTCCCACTAAGCTCTGAGCTTCCTCGGGGTTGGCAGCTTGCCTTTCTGATCACTCTTCCTAGTGCAGTGCCTGTACACATAAGTTTTCCATGAAGTTTGTTGGGTGTATGAATGAAGTAAAGAAAAAACTAATTCATTAACTCATGTTTACCTACAGTATACCTGGTGGATAAAAGTCATGGCTCTATTCTACAGGGCAGTGGCAGCCACCAGGACTAAGGGACAGTGTATGCCATAGTCTCTATCGTTCAAATGCCTTTGGCTGTAAGTAACAAAAGATGCAATTCACAATGGCTTAATAATAAGAAAATTTATTATGCCCCATAGCAAGAGATCCAGAGATAAGCAAGCTCCAGAGATGGTTAATTTATTTCTTCAGTAATGTCATAGAAGACCCAGTTTCTTCCAACTCCCACCCTAGCTATCTTCATCGGGTTGCATTTTTCTTCACGGTAACTCTCCTCAGAGCGAGAAGTAAGGCACAGCTGTACTAAGCAGATCCAATCCAGATAATATGACAGTGGCTGCTTCTCTTTTTATAAAGGGGAAAGCCTCTTTTAGAACCCCCGGCCCTACCTAGTAGACTTCTGCTCATGGTTTTGGTCAGAACTAAGTCATGGGTCCTTTTGAAACACCAGTTATTAGCACAGGGAAAGAGAATGCTATGAACAGCTTAGGGCAAACATGTGGTCATGAATAGGACATGTTGCCAAGCAGACTGGAGTTATGTTAGGAAGGGAGAAGCGCAGGGATACAGTTATGTTGGATAAGCAGCCACACAGCTTGCTGCTGTGTGCATTTATTCATTCAACAGATATTATCTATTATATACCCAGCATTGTGCTGGAGGTTGTGGACAGTAGTGAACAAGAGAGACAAGATCCTTCGCCTGCCAGGCCTTCCCCTCACCCCCTGCGCTTTGAGATGGAGAGGGTGTCCAGGCCTCCCCGCTTCACCCTCTGAGGTGAGGAGGCGTCCAGGGCCTCGCATCTCAGCACGGGACTGACGGGCTTGCCCTGACCTCTCGCAGGCATGAACGCCGCTGTCTGGGTCATGACACACATGGGCTTTTATGTGGGCGCCAAAGTCTTCCTCATCTATGAGGTAAGGCTGAGGTGAGCTCTGTGTATGTGGGGAGCAGGAGCCTTCTGGGGTGCAGGCTGGGGTCTGGTCTGTGTGGGTCACCCTGGGAGCCCTCAGATGACCCTGGTGGAGCTAATGTTCCAGACGTTCCAGTAAGGAAAGAGACAGTGGCCATGTAAACAAATAAACAAGATCCTTGTAGAGTGCCGTAACTGTTATAAAGAAATCAGCAGAGCAGTGGACAGAGTGTGAACAGGGCCTGCACTGGCGGTGGACATGGAAGGTCCTTCTGAGAAGGTAACATCTGATGAAGTAGGGAGCAACAAGTCCGGGGCCGATCAAGAGAGAAGACTCCAAGCAGAGCCAACAGCGAGTGCAAAGGCCCCAAGGCAGGAATGAGGTGGCTGTGTGGCTGGAGCAAAGTCTGTGCCTAATGACTGATCAAAAGTTGCTTCTGGCACCCAGCCTGGCTCCTGCCCCAAGCTGAAAACAGATCATCAGCAACAACTCTAGCTTCCCAAGCCTCTCCTGCCCAGACTTGCAGCTCCACCCAGGTCAGAGGCACAGCTGCAGGGACCACAGAACAATGGGCTCAGCTCTGTGAAGACAAGAAAAGCCACCATGGTTTTGACAAAGAACCCAGGAACGGCGTTAAAGGCTTCTTTGGGCAGTGTCCAATTTATGTAGCAATTTTCTTGGCCACATCTGCGGAGGTATAAAAAGACAGATATAAGGCAAGGATGGAACTACTTTATGTGTGTTGATATCCCTTCCCCACGGTTCTGTACACCTCAGAGCTCCTGCAGCGTGGCCGGTGATCCCAGTGGCTCCTATTTCACCTGGAGGCAGGACAGTGCTGCTGCCACGTATGGCAGCTCTGCCAGGGCTGAGGAGGCAGAGACTGTAATTCTCATTTTGGTGTACTCATCCCTACCACTTTTCTGCCACTGAGTTTTTGGGTGGGCATAAGTTCACTGGCAGCCTGGGTTCCCAGTCTTACTCTCCTCCAGGCCTGGTAGCTCTTCTTTCCTGCAGTGAAAACCTCTCCAAGGGTTTTAATGATCCTGCCCAGTTCTGGCCTGCCACATCCATCACAGCCTGGTCAGTCCAGAGAGTACCGAGTCCTCCTGCTTCCTCTGTCAGCAGTGACATCAGGCATCTTCCCTAGGCTTCCTCTAGAAACTGGTCCCTTTTTGTCCCTCTTCCAGGTAGCCTTTTCCCCTGAATGTTGTTAATGGATTCATTTGATATCTTGTTTTCCTTTGAAGCTTTTGTGAAACTCGTGTAGACTCATGGAGCATTCAAATGAGGTAACATCACCATCGGTGCTCCTTCCCTGGCTCACTGCCTCGGGAAACCAACCTGGTAGGTGTTTCTGAGACTCTTAGTGTCTATGGAAGTCCCTGGGGATTTCTCACTCAAATCTGCAGAGTGTTTAGTCTTCCTGGACTTTTGGCTCTAGGCAGTTTGCTTGGAAGTATTGAAGGAGAGTAGCTCCCTGACCCCCATGTGATAATATTATAGGGCCTCAGAGCATGCTTGTTTGGCATTCTAGGGGTTGGGAGATTGGTGAGACACCCCAGATGTCTGCTTGACTTCAGAGTGGCTGATAACAGTAGAGACCACCACCCAAGACCCGGAACCGCAGCTTCCTCTGACTTGCAACTGTGCTGCTGCCTGGGACGGATTCCTTTCTTCTTAAGGTTGAACTTTCTCTTAAGGAGTCCATGTTTGGGTGTTGTCCCTAACCACCCCACCTCCCCCGCTCCCTGTCCTAAGTTCTGCAGGCACCAGGGACCCCAGTTATGGACACAGGCGGGTTCTTTCCCTGGAGCTCCAGAATCCAGGTAGAACCTGGGAAGGGATGGGAAAAGAGGTCATTCCATCATTTGGACAAACCTAAATCTAAATTTAGCCCCAGCCTGCTATAGAATATCAGTATGAAAGAAACTCTGGACGTTATTAGGTCAACTGGTTCATTTTGCAGATGAGAAAACAGAGGCCCAGAGAGGTGAAGTGGTTAGACTAAGAACATGGACCTCATGGCAGAGCTGGACTGACCGTATCTCCTGACTTTGAGTCTGGGTCTCCATTCACTGTGCCTTCTGCCCTTGTTGTTTTTGAATTTTATAAAAGGTCCTTCACATTCAAAAACCTCTTCTTTCTGTTCCCCTGCCCACCCTCTACCTTGTAGAACTTCTGATAAGATGCCTAGGCCATGAGTGGCATTCTTGGGCTGTCTTGAGCGTGAAGACACCTTTGTGGCTAGCCTCCTTGAGCACATATGGGGCGTCGACACTTATTTATTGAATCAGATTAGGGCATAATTTTCCTTTTTTTTTTTTTTTTTGAGACAGAGTTTCACTCCTGTTGCCCAGGCTGCAGTGCGATGGCGCAATCTCAGCTCACCGCAACCTCCGCCTCCCGGGTTCAAGCAATTCTACTGCCTCAGCCTCCCAAGTAGCTGGGATTACAGGTGCCTGCCACCATGCCCAGTTAATTTTCTATTTTTAGTGGAGACGGGGGTCTCTCCATGTTGGTCAGGCTGGTCTCGAACTTCCGACCTCAGGTGATCTGCCCGCCTCAGCCTCCCAAAGTGCTGGGATTACAGGCGTGAGTCACCACACCTAGCCAATTTTCGGTATTTTAATTCTCCAATAGTATATTAATAGAACTACTGCAAAAATAAAAGTGCATATTTTCCACTTAAATAATTAGGTTAAATCAACTTAGATTTTTATTTTTCCTGCAGGACTTACAGCTTATAATGGGCTAAAAAGCACTGTGACTGTTGGCCAGGCATGGTGGCTCACGCCTGTAATCCCAGCACTTTGGGAGGCCGAGGCGGGCAGATCATGAGGTCAGGAGATCAAGACCATCCTGCCTAAAACGGTGAAACCCCATCTCTACTAAAAAAAAAAAAAAAAAAAAAAAAAATTAGCCGGGAGTGGTGGTGGGTGCCTGTAGTCCCAGCTACTCAGGAGGCAGGAGAACGGCTTGAAGCTGGGAGGCGGAGCTTGCAGTGAACCAAGATCGTGCCACTGCACTCCAGCCTGGGCAACAAGAGAGTGAGACTCTGTCTCAAAAAAAAAAAAAAAAAGCACTGCGACTGTGGCCATTTAACATGAACTCCAGAAAGTGTTCTCCATACCATATTTTGTGAAAAGCTGCACAAAGGTGGATGCATGGAAAATTGAAGGTTTGCCTGATCCTCTACCAGGGAATCCTGGTTCTATGGAGCAGCCAGAGCTATGACTGGTCTCCAGGACAGGAACGTGCCTGCTCCCTGGTGAAAGTGCCTCTCTGTGGCCTCAGGGCCTCTGTGAGGCAAGGCAGAGCTCCTGTCCCTGCATGAGCACACCTAGGGCTTCTGGAGTGGCTGAGGCACTTATGCTCCCTGCTTCCTGCTTCCTGGAGCAGAATTTAAGGAAGACTACTGGGCTTTTGCCTCAGGAGACCAGACGAAACAAAACCTCCTTTCAGACGGGCATTCTTCTGACTTTTTCTTCAAGTGGAATTGTGACTGTAGGTTTGGGTTTAAACATTGAATTTCAATTTTGCATACACACACCAAGAGGCCTCGGGGCAATGGGGGTGTTTGAAATGAACACCAGCCCGAGTCCTCTACCTGCCAAGTGTTCGATTAAGCTGCTTAGGTCTGTTTCCACCATCCTGTCTTTCAAATATTTATGTGGCAGATTATAGGCAAGCTTCAAAGGCAAGGAAATGCAAATCTGTTCTATAAATCATGGAATAACACAGCTGCTGTCTTCCTCAGTGTGACAGCTTACGAATGCCAGCATTTCTGTCTGCAGAAGGGGTGGTGGGAATGGGCTTCTCGAGTGCAGCCAGGCCTGTGTGCGTGCCTGTGTGTGTGTGTGTGTGTGTGTGTGTGTGTGTTAGGAGTAAGGAAGAGAGTAGGGAATACTAATAATATTCGCATTTTTGCAAAACAGCAGTTTTTTTGTTGTTTAAATTTCCCAGCAGTTAAGGAGTTAATTTATTTTGCTAATCTTAAAGAACTGTGGCGGGATAAAACCTCACCTGGGATCTGAGGCATCCAGAAAACTAGAGATGAAAATGGCTTTCAGTTTTGGGGAAATATACCTAGAACGTGAAGTAAGGGAAGAGAAGTCAACAGCAATAACTTTGGAGATTCCAAAATGAATTTAATTTAGTCTAAATGAATAAAAAGGTAATTGTGCATTGCAAATACTTATGCAAATTAAGTTTTGCCCCCAGGGTCTTAACAATCTGCCAGTGAAGCCCCCAGTGTGCCAAAGATTAGACTTTTGTGGGCTCTTTTTGGCTGTTGCCGTGAACACATCGACTTGGTACATTGGTGTTCAGTGACCCATTAACATCCACCAAGACCAGCACTGGGGTTTATGGTCCTTGCCCAGCAGCTGGTTTTGGCCTGGTGTCATTCTAAGGAAAAACCTGGGAAAGCTGCAGTCAACAGCATGCAGGGACCCAAAGGAAGATGCTGTATAAGACAAAATGAGTGGGGATAAGGTTTACCGTGTATTAGTCAGGATTCTGTTGCAAGTGACTCAAACTCACTTAGGCAATAGGGGGAATTTTCTGGGTCACTGAAGGGAACATTGAATAACCAAATCATGGGAAAGGAACGAAAGTAGTTGGGCTTGGGAACAGTTGGAACAAAAACTGGAATGCTGCTAGGACTGTCTTCCATCACCTGTCTTTACTTTTTCTCTGTGCTGGCTCCTAACATGGCTGCATATTAGGACTAGTAGATTTTGTGCCTAACGACCTTTCCTATTATAAAGACTGTTTTGCACCTGACAACTTTTGTCTCTGTAGAATCCTATTTTGAATAATCCCAGAGAAGAAATTTATGATTGGTTGAGCTGGGATCAGGTGTCCATGCCTGGACCAATCAACTGTAGGAAGAGGACCGAGAGTCATATAAAAACATGGCAGCTCTTACGGTAGTCGTGTTGATGATGGGTGGCTTTACAAAAAAAAAAAAAAAAAAAATAGAGTGGGGAAGCTTTGGACAGACAATCCAGTAAGCATCTACTACATTCTAGAGAAAGCTGGAAAAAAGACCAAAGAAGGCAAAGAAAGGGGGCCAGAAAAGATGGTGTGATGACTGAGTTGCATGTTGGAATTCATTGACTGACTCCTTGACATTCAGTATTCCATAGGATTCCTTAATGACACTAAATGCTCCTGGTTTTTCTATTTTTCTGATGGCTCTTATTCTGTCTCCTTGATTGTTCTAGAGCCTTCTCTTCTCTGCGCTGAGAATCTCCTCAAGATTACAGGCCCTTAGTTTTGTATCTTGCCTCTAGAGAAGACAAATAGATAGCTTCTTTCCAACTGCATAAACAGTATTCCCCGTCAGCACCCTCCTCTTACCTTCCAGAAGAAATCTACACTTGGATTTCCTTTAGTCACATTTAATGCCTTTCTTAAAAAGTGTGGTTCCTGAACCAGTCACATGAGAATTACCTGGAAGCTGATTGGAAACGCAGAATCTTGGGCCTTATCCCAAAACTGCTGAATCAGAATCTGCATTCTAACAAGATGACCAGGTACTTAGTAAGTCCATTCATTTGGAAAGCACCACTTTAAGCAATTAGAAAGGGAACACATAATCAATCTGCTCTCAGTGGCGAAATAAATGTTTTTTCACAATTTTCCTACCAGGTCAATGACAACCCTGTCTAGAAACCCAGATTCACAACAACTCTCAAAATTACTTTTCCAATACTTTCTTGTCTTCATTACCTATGTCCAATCTATTACCAGTTTCAACCTATTAATTCCACTGTCCAGTAGGTCTGTTTTTCCTAACCATGCCTTCCTCACTTTCTGCAGGCTCTAATAGATGCATTTGCCAGTCAGCCTCCTCATTTAAAAAATGGGTCAAATAATGCTTACAATGCCTCCTATACATATTTACATACAATACAAATTTAATGTGTAATTATCTTCATCCTGGTAGGACTGGTTTTCCACTATGGCTTTGTACACAGTTGTAAGGGATGTTGCAAATAACGTATTATTAACTATAAAGTGCCAAAATCTATGAACAATTTTGATTTTAAATAAATTCGAAGGGATTAAAGATTTTTTCTAAAATTATTTTCCCTTATCTGCACTTTAATATGCTATAATGAATAACAGAGAAAGTGGTGGAATAATACCTGGTAGGCCAGGAATTATAGATAGTAGTGTCTTACATATGAGCATCATCTATGATAGAGGTCAGCAAACTCTTTCTGTAAAAGGCCAGATAGGATTTTAGGCCTTCTGGGCCATATGGTCCCTGTTATAACTACTCAACTCTACCATCATAATGAGGAAGCAGCCAGAGGCAATACATTGCACATTGA